TCTATGTAATTACTTATATAAATTACCTAATAAAGATATGAGCAAGGCCTCACCTTAACAACAAAAAAAAAAAAAAAAAAAAATGACCCTCTCGCAATTTTGTATTAATCTTGACATTTAACTTAACTTTGAATCATTGGTATTAAACAGTATTAATATTTTCATTTCGAGACGTTACCCTCGTTATTAAATTGTCAGATATCATTGCAAATAAAAAGGAATCTTATCGCTGCACTTATTTATTCCAATTATCGCAGTTTTGATAACTATTTTCATGAAATATTATTTTATTTAATTTGTTATTATCTATTAAAATTGTAAAGCTCATTAATAAATTATACATATTTGGTCACAATAAGGATTGTGAGAATTATCATATTTTATATACTTAGAGGGCATGCATTTTCTTTATCTTTTGTTTTATCATATTTTTTTTCACTACATAGTTAAAAATAGAAAGAATGCTTGACCCAGTATCAAAAAAAAAAACGTGAATGATTGCAGAGGATCTCCAATTTCAGGTAATACACCATCATAAACCTGGCTTCATTTTCGACATAATGAGAATTTTTTCCATGTTCATAAAGTTTTTCCAGGCCATATCATATCTCTGTTTACAGTTAAATTGAAACGCTTCAGGTCATCAACTTTAGAAATATTTATATTTATTCTTATGAATCGTTATGGTAGTATTAATTAAAGATGAAAACAAACATATATATATTGATTACTATTTTTATTGGCACTGTACGGTGAGTTTAAATTGATGCTTGTTAAATTTTAATGGAAAAAAATTTAACAAATGATTATTAATTGATACAATGCTACGCATTTTCCATAAAAAAAAAGCATGCACTAAATTCAATTTCAATTCGAATTTACAAATTAAAAGTAACGAGTCGTATAAATTGCAAGAAAGATAATCAAAAAACATTCTGCATTTTATTACCGGTATTGTTTATTTTAATCAGCTGGATAATATATTGCCGGGAATTTCTGACGTAGAGCAAAAAATTTGTCATAGAAAGATTGGCAAAAAAATTTTTTATTATAATGGTTATAAAACTATATTTGATTTTACTACTTCATGTGCATCTAATAAAAGCTATTAGTACTTTATGAAATAAGTAACGCAAAGGGAAAACCAAACTTCTAATTCACCATATAGACACTTTATTTAAAAAGTCAATTGTTTTAAGTGTATTTACAGTATATGGCACAAGGAAGAACACAAGTTATTAGGAAAATAACAAGTAATGTTGGGAAATAACGTTCTACAATAAAATTAGTTGATTGTGTGATCATACAGAAGCATTAAATAAATTCTATTAAAAGTCTGCTACGAAATTGAGATTCAATTCTGGTTGTTAAACGATCAGTTAAAGCGGGAGACGGACATTCCGTAGAGTAAGACTTGAAAGACTATCCCCAAGCTCCAGCTAATAAAATGCAGTGTCTTACATGCTTTTGAGCATAACGAAAACATTATCACAATGTTTATGATATTTCAAAATTTTGTAGTTAAGTAAAACATCTCTTTACCTTAAAAACTTATTTATTAATATTTTGAAAATGTTTAATAGTAATTTTATGAAATGATATATAAATAAAAGAGTAATTATTAAAGATATTGTTAAAATGAGATTAGAACTAATAGAAAGTGTATTGAAATTTATTATCTTGTTCTCAGGTATCATTTTTTTTTTTTTTAGCGCTAGATTAATAAGAAATTATTTATTTATATCAATTATAGCACAAGTTAGTCAATAAATTAATCTCACGGGTAATTAAAATAACCGAAGGGGAAACATGGCAACATACGTTTATTTACTGTTTTCGTCAGTAAGGGCATTGATTAAGGGCATTTCCAAGTCTCTACCTCAATGGACTTAATAATGAATCTGATCAGCCTGTTTGATCAAACTATTCAATCAAATTTTTTATTGAATTCATTGAGGTAGGTGCTTGAGAACACTCTTAAGTATTTCTATTTCTTAAAAAAAGGGTTATTTAAATTTTCACGATAAATTCTTTTAATCAGACACATGTATAGTCTTTCTTTCCTGACAACTTAGTCTTTCCTTGATCATTGCAATCGGTGATGCAGTTACATTTAATTTTGGAAATCACTTTTAGATTTTATTAAAAGAAAAGCCTTCACTTCTATACATTTTAAAATATATGAAAACTATAATTACAAGATTATAACAAATTGACATATTTTTTGTTTGATCTATTTTCACTATCCAAACTCCATTTCTACAATTCCATTTCTACAACAGTCATTCTTTTTTTAAGTTTCAAAATAAATGAAATTTCTATCAATTCGAAAATGAAGGCTAGCTTGTATATTTTGATGTCTTTTAAATGTCTTGTCCGTTGGCATCTGGTGTTTTGTTGTACAACGAATTGTATACATCTATAACCCTAGCATCCCAACCTAAAAAATTTCGCTACCAGAGCTAGGGTTAGGTTAGGGTTAGGGTTTGGGTATTTTTAGTTTAATTTTATGTTACACCTGATCTTAAATTTAATTTGGCCCAATTGCGAAATTTTTTAGGTTGGGGATGCTAGGGTGGTTGTATACATCAACATAAGCTTTTGCGCAAATTGGTAAATAGTTTAGAATTGTTACAATACTTTTTTCGGAAGCTCGGGTAATCTAACTGCATAGTTAAGTGAGAAAGTTTACTAAGTAAACTTAAAGCTTTTACTCTGCTCTACAACATATTCGCTGAATCTATCTGAATCTACCAACTTTCATATTACACTTCACCTGTCGAAATTAGAAGTAATTAACAATCAGTACATCAACAAAATCTCATTGTTAAGCAAGAAAAAAGGTAAAAAAAAATCAAAATAACGATTAAAGATAATAGTATAGAAGGAAAAAATTAGTTTTTATATATTTTTTTATTATACATATTGCATAAAAATCTTTAGAGAAATTGAAAGTATTCGAATAATATTAATTAACTATACTTGTTTGTTAATTTTATTAATATAGGAGCTTTTAAGTTACAATACAAGGTTATATATTCGATGTGTATTAATGTTGCAACAGTCTCTTATTAGAATTATAGTTGTGTAATATAATTTGTATAATATAAAATATTAGAAATTTGAGTAAATATAGAATTAGACATAGAATTAGAGATAGAATTAGACGTGAAATTAAATATTCATAGATTATTGAGGTTTTAGTAAATAAATAAAAATAAATACTTTTAAATAATAATAATCTTGATTAAATTAATAAATATATGCTTACTTATTTAAACGATAACATTTAACAGCATTTATTTTAAACTTTAACTATAAATTTTAATTAAATTTTATTTCTTTTCATTTTATAAAGTTTACGATTTTGTTGGCTAATCAATTCGTGATATTTATCATATGATTAATATTTACGATTTTATTGGCTAAATCTAATATGCATGATCTGGGACGGTCCTACCTGTATTTACAGATACTTTCCGTTCTGTAGGTACAGGAAAAAAAATTAACTGCTAGTTAACCAACAAAATCATAAAATCATTAGCATCTAGAACAAATTGATGTATGTGATATAACACAAAACTAATGTAACAAATGATTCTTCTTTATCTAATTTATACTTCAAAATATTTTGCTAAACAATGCATAATGATAATTTATCTAATTAACACAAATTTATGTTTTTAAAGAATTTTAATTTATGCATCATGCAGCACGATAATTAACATTTAGGAATCGGATTTGTGGGAGAATCGAGTAGACTCAAGCTATTAATTAAATGTTTCTATATAAGCGTAAAGTGTTAAAAAAAATTTGTTTTCACTTTCAACCTTGAAATTTTAGTAAAAATTCAAATTTTTTTTAAAAAATATAATTAATCAATATGAATCTCCAAATTTTTAATATTTTTTTAATTATTCTTTCAATTTTACTTGCATTAACTATTACTGTTAATGCTCGCTTTAATAGGCCTATTAAAAAACATGCCAATAAACATAATATTGTGCCTACAAAAACTAAATGCACAACTCCAACTCCAACTTGTTGCCAAGCACGTAATAGTCCAGGGTGGAATAACAAAGCTTTTTTAGCTCCTGGTTCACTAATAGTTGGTGGTTCTACTCCGAAAGATTGTTGTAATTTATGTGTTACAGATATTAATTGTGTTTCATAGGCTTTTAATGGCTTATGTTTTCATGGCCAGAACACGACTACTATTAATTATTGCTCACTTCCCACCTATGAACCAAGCAGTGTGAATGTAGAAGGTGGTATTATTCGTTGTAGTGGTGGCAGTTAATGTAGTGAAAATGAGACATATTAAGACTATAGATGAGAGAATAGATCTATTTATCTGAATGGTTAATTGCTATTTCGTTTTTTTCACAATTTATAGAAAAAAAAAATTTTCTACCTATCTTTTTAATTACGAATTTGTTTTTAAAGCAAATACAGTAATTTAGATGTTATTTAGAATTCACTATAATTTTAGTTTTGATAGATCCTTTAAATTATTACAATTAGGCTATACAAAAAATTTTTTTTGGTTTTCATAACATGGAGCAAAATAATATGACCCGGCAACCCGGAGGTTTTTTTTATATATAAATTTTTTTATCAGGTTATACAGCAGACAATTATTTAAATTCTCGTGACAAAAGAAAAATAAAAATTTTCAAAATTTAAATCAAAATATCTTGGTAAATACCTAACCAAAATCGTCAATTTTTTTTTATTTTATTTGAATTTTATGAATCCATAGAACTTAAACAATAAAAAATTTTCGAATTTGGTCAAGTGGTTACAGAGATATCTTCGCTCAAAGTTAGAGAAAATCAAGATACCTATCAAAAATAGAAGCTACGCCAATTTATTTTAAAAGTTTGAGCGAAGATATCTCCACAACCACTCGGCCAAATTTAATGAATTTTTTTTTTATTTGAATTCTATGAATCCACAGAATTCAAATAAAAAAGAATTCAATAAACTTGATCAGATGATTATGGAGATAAATTCACTCAAAGCTAGAGAAAAATCAAAACGTCTATCAAGAATAGAAGCTGTGACAATTTATTTTAATAGTTTGAACGAAAATATCTCCACAACCACTTGGCCAAATTCGATGGAAATTTTTTTTTATTTGAATTCGATGAATCAACAGAGTTCAAATAAAAAGGATTTCATCGAACTTGGTCAGGTGGTTGTGGAGATATCTTCGCTCAAAGTTAGGGAAAAATCAAAACGCCTATCAAAAATAGAAGCTGCGTCAATTTATTTTAATAGTTTGAGTGAAGATATCTCCACACCCACTTGGCCAAATTCAATGGAAATTTATTATTTGAATTCTATTAAACCACAAAATTCAATTAAAAAAGATTTTATCGAACTTGATCAGGTAGTTATGGAGATATCTTCGCTCAAAGTTAGAGAAAAATCAAAATGCCTATCAAAAATAGAAGCTGTACCAATTTATTTTAATAGTTTGAGCAAAGATATCTCCACAACCACTTGGCCAAATTCAATAGAAATTTTTTTTATTTGAATTCTATGAAACCACAGAATTCAAATAAAAAAGATTTCATCGAACTTGGTCAGGTGGTTGTGGAGATATCTTCGCTCAAACTATTAAAATAAATTAGCGCAGCTTCTATTTTTAACAGACGTTTTGATTTTTCTCTAACTTTGAGCGAAGATATCTCTATAACAACCTGACAAAATTCAATGAAATCTTTTTTATTTGAACTCTGTGGATCATAGAATTCAAAAAAAAATTTTCCATTGAATTTGGCCAAGTGATTGTGGAGATATCTTCGCTCAAATAAATTGGCACAGCTTCTATTTTTGATAGGCGTTTTGATTTTTTTCTAATTTTGAGCGAAGATATCTCCACAACCAACTGACCAAATTCGATGAAATCTTTTTTATTTGAACTCTGTGGATTTATAGAATTCAAATAAAAAAATTTCCATTGAATTTGGCCAAGTAGTCGTGGAGATATCTTTGCTCAAATTATTGAAATAAATTGGCACAGCTTCTATTTTTGATAGGCGTTTTGATTTTTCTCTAGCTTTGAGCGAAGATATCTCTATTTCAAAATGATGGAATAGAAAAAAGAAATGGTTTAATAATGTTATCAAAAGAAAGTGCAGTTCAGGAAGTAAAATATTTTATTAAAACTAGAGTAAAGAAAGCAATTTCAAAAGAATCGCTTCAAATAAAAATAATAAAGAAAACAAATAATCGAATGAACAACATACTTAAATTAGATGATGAACTAAAAATAATCAAAGAATTAGAAGAAATAATCTATGAAATAGATAACGAAAAACTGAATCTAAATTATCAATTTATGTATTATGCAAACAAAATCCAAAATACTCTAATAAACAACATCAAATAGTTGAACTTTATTTTCTTGTTGTTATGTCACTTTTTATATTTCTTCTTTTTAAGATTGAAAAACTAAACCTTAGGTCAAGATCTATTGATTGAATGCCTATATTTGACAAGCATATTATTGGTATTAATACTTATAATTTAATAATAAATCAAGATTTAATAACTATATTATTTTTGCAAAAGGCATTCACTAATACTTAGAGTCAAGCTGATTAAATAAAAGATTCAATAAATTAATTATCTGAAAGATCTAAAGTAAATGAAAATTAAATTAATTTTCAAATGATGGGACTCAATTAATTCAAATTCTAATTTAAAAAAAATTAAAATTATTTTATTTATTTTATTTGATAACTTTAAAATCAATTCATTAAGTATGTAAATAGATTAAAAATTGTCAGGAGTTATTATAATTTATATATTCTGGAAGGGAATGTAGCTGACTTAAATAAAAAGATTTGTCTTAGCATAACTCAATTCTAATATTTTATAACTATATGGAAAAATTACAAAATTCAGATACTAAAATAATAGTAGGTGATGGTAAAAATATTTATGCTTATTCTCAAATACTTATGCAAAAATCTCAATATTTTAACAATGCTTTATCTGAATCATGGGTTTGTAAAGAAAATAATTTCTATATTATTAAGAAACCAAATACAACAAAAGAGGGCATAAATAATATATTACAATACCTTTATTCAAAAAAGTAATATAACTCACAGAGAGTTAAAGAATTTATAAACACATTTTCATTAGCTGATGAAATGTGTATAGATGTGTATCTTGATATGTTAAGACAATATTTTGACAAAAACATAGAAATATTATTAAAAAAAGATTTGCTATTAATTCTTAACTTTATTAAAAATCATAATAATATACAAAAAACAGTAGTAAAAACAATATTGAATAAACCTAACCTATTTTTTTCAGCTAACAAATTTCAAAATATATCTATTCAACATTTAAAATTGGTTATATCAAAGAATAACTTAAATCTTGAAGAACTTAAAATCCTCAAGAAAGTAATTTTATAGTCACTGTGAGACGTAGCTAGTAGTTAGTATAAACCCAGGTCTAAACGACACTGGTAATGATTCTTTATCCGAGAAAAAAGAAAAAAAGAAAAAAAAACCCAAGCGAACGGCGGCACCAACTACGAATATTATTCCAACAAAAACAAAAAATAAGTATAATTAAAAAAATAATAAAAAAAAAAAGCAACAAAAAAAAGAATTATACTTTCCGTAATCAAAAGTTTTTTTAAAAAATTTTTTAAAAGAAAAAAAAAGGTATAAGAAAACAAACTGAATCGACATGCCCAGTTCGCCTACAAAAACAGACCAAGATCTAAGCGACAAACATAAACACAGTTAACGACTACACTTTTGCCCTCGCTCATGCAAAACAATCTGCTGCCGCCGCTCAAAAAGCCCGTATCTCAAGCCAGATTATTCACAAGAGTCCCAGAACATATCTTACGGCTAATTCCTGCCGGCCAGGTTCATGTTTGACACTGGTATTCATCGCTTCATTGTCTTTACGTTTGTCACCTCCACCTCAGTCAACTTTCACGAACGTCTCGAACACCGACTACGAAGATGAATTTTTTAAGGGGGGACGTTAAACAATCACTACGTCACCACAACGTCCAAGAATATGATGGCGCAGCTGGCACTGTAAAAAAAAAACAAAGTTTATCGTTATAACTGATAACAGTGTTATTTTTATAATCAACAAAAAATGATTGGCTACATGCATGTGATGATCACATACGTAAAGTCGGCCAGCATTATGATCTGCAAATTCTGGCCAAATTAATGCCAACCGGCATCGCTAGTAAAGAATTAATAGCAATAATCAAAAGAAAACTATCAGTATGCGGAGAAAGCCCCTGGTATACTGAGATATAGCCAAAAACAGATTCTGACGGGTTGTCTAAGATATTAGATATTTTATATTCAAAATTTTGAGATGCGATTAAAGGATTAAGACATTTATGACCATGGTGTTCCAACTATAGATGCTAGTGAAATTAATTTCACTGATTTCACCAATAGTGGTGAAATTATTTCACAACATTTCACTATATTTCACCAGTATCTATAGTTCCAACCTAGTTTTACCACTTACACAATACAGAGAAAAGTTATGAAATTCAACTTTATAAGAGTGATTCAACCTTTCAATTTTTATCATGTGATTTTTTTATCTTAAAAATCAATATATATAAGGCCATACAAATTTAATTACTTGGTTTTTATAACATCAAATTTAAAAATAGACTCGGCCGACCGGCCTTTTTTTTTTAAATTTCATATATAAAATTTTATAAAATTTATATAAAAAAAATTTTTAAAACCCACCCGGTTATTAAAACATATAAAAATTTTTTTTAGAAGTTTTCAAAATTTGACCCGGCCGGGTTA